TGGAACCATGGCTGCATCTCTGCCCTAACTCAGGCATATCTCCTCTGGGCTGATACAGTGGTCATCCTTGAAAACTTTTCAAATGCCTTTGTGACTAAATGACATTATGGCTCCATTCATACTATTCCCCAGGTGTTGCCTAGATGAAGTACAGGAATACCGCTAACACCATGGTAAAGTTATCTTGTTATCAAAGGCAAAGCTGAAATGTTTTCGAAGGTTGGCTCTGCTTGCAGTGCTAGACACCCTCTTGCTTTTTGCAATCCCGAGCACAGTGAGGAGTCAAATTATAGACCAGCTTCTGAGGCCCTTCATCACTCCCTCCCTCCACAAGCAATCCCATTGATTCAAATGGGAACAGTCATGAGTATGGTATTAGACGAAGGGCTGGTCTACACTGGGGGCGGAGATCGATCTAAGATACGCAACTTCATCTATGAGAATAGCATAGCTGAAGTCAATGTATCTTAGATCGATTTAACTTGGGTCCTCACGACGCGGGATCGATGGCCGTGGCTCCCCCGTCGACTACGCTTCCACCTCTCGCTCTGGTGGAGTTCCAAAGTCGACGGGAGTGCGTTCGGGGATCGATTTATCACATCTAGATGAGACGCGATAAATCGATCTCCGATAGATCGATTACTACCCGCCGATCCAGGTGATTAAAGGTATCAGAATCCAACTTTATAGCTGCCTATTTTGTAGGTGCACTGAGAGAGGGGAAAGACTCCTGTCACCCTATCCCACCACCCAAGATCCAGGCATAATTTGACCCTGTGAGCCAGATTTTCATTTACACCGGTGCAACACAGTGACTTCAATGGAATCACTCCTGATTTACACCGGACTGAGAGGAAAATCAGGCCATATCTTTTTAGCTAACTTTCAACATGTATTTTTCTTCCTCCAGTACTAGTCAACATATTCATAAATGATCTGGAAAAAGGGGTAAAGAGTGAGGTGGCAAAATTTGCAGATGATACAAAACTGCTCAAGATAGTTAAGGCAAACTGTGAAGAACTACAAAAGGATCTCTCAAAACTAGGTGACTGGGCAACAAAATGGCAGATGACATTCAGTGTTGATAAATGCAAAGTAATTTACATTGGAAAACATAATCCCAACTATACATATAAAATGATGGGGTTTGAATTAGCTGTTACCACTCAAGAAAGAAATCTTGACATCATTGTGGATAGTTCTCTGAAAACATCCACTCAAAATGCAGCGGCAATCAAAAAAGCAAACAGAATGTTGGGCATCATTAAGAAAGGGATAATAAGACAGAAAATATCATATTGCCTTTATATAAATCCATAGTACGCCCACATCTTAAATACTGCATGCAGATGTGGTCACCCCATCTCAAAAAAGATATATTGGAATTGGAAAAGGGTCAGAAAAGGGCAACAAAAATGATTAGGGGTTTGGAACGGCTTCCGTATGAAGAGAGATTAATAAGATTGAGACTATTCAGCTTGGAAAAGAGATGACTAAGGGGGGATAAGATAGAGGTCTATAAAATCATGACTGGTGTGGAAAACGTAAATAAGGAAGTGTTATTTACTCCTTCTCATAACACAAGAACTAGGGGTCACCAAATGAAATTAATAGGCAGCAGGTTTAAAACAAACAAAAGGAAGTATTTCTTCACACAATGCACAGTCAACCTGTGGAACTCTTTGCCAGAGGATGTTGTGAAGGGCAAGACTATAACAGGGTTCAGAAAAGAACTAGATAATTTCATGGAGGGTAGGTCCATCAATGGCTATTAGCCAGGATGGGTAGGGATGGTGTCCCTAGCCTCTGTTTACCAGAAGCTGGGAATGAGTGACAGGGAATGGATCACTTGATGATTACCTGTTCTGTTCAATCCCTCTGGGGCACCTGGCATTGGTCACTGTCGGAAGACAGGATACTGGGCTAGATGGACCTTTGGTCTGACCCAGTATGGCCATTCTTCTGTTCTTATGATAACAATATATCAACAGCGAGCAAAGCAAAAATCTTCATGAAAAACAGTTACACTGCACAGTAGCTACTTAGCAAATTGAACTGCCATGGTTTTCCAAAGCACCATTATGAATCACACTGTAGCATGGCAATCATTTGGCAAATGTATTTATTTCAATCAAAGCTGCTTAAAGTTTAAAAAGAAAGCCAAAACCCAGCATCTTAAACTGTTTTACTTGAAAAAAGTAGCATGTTCCTGTCTAACCAAGGGCCTGAGACATGCATCTTATTATAAAACAGTGGTTGGCATGGAGTCAGACATATGTGCTCTATTACACAGTGTCGTGTCCTACTGAGACATTGACCTCGCTTGCTCCAGAAAGCTACAAAAAGACTGACAGGCCAAATCCAATCTAAGTACGTTGATACTTGGTCATATTTGGCAAGCACGTTAAGAATGCCAATTTTCCCCCTATTAAAATGATTACTGCTATGATACTCCTGGAGGGCACAAATCATGAGGATGTCATTTCGTTCAGGGTAACGGTGGGTGTTTTGGTTTTGATTTCCATTTCTTTTGTCTTTCATTGTCCTATGTCTCCCCCGTCAGCACCCCTTCTTTTGCTGCCCAACTCTAGAAAGTCAGTAGTTAAATTATAAGGAGGAGAAGTGAAGCTGGATAGCTCACATTGCAAATTCATGGAACCACAAACTGGAAAAAGCTGTCAAGCCATCATTGTTTATAATTAGCTTTTGACTGAATTCCCAATCTGCTATGAGGAATAGTTTGATCTTGCTGTATGTGTGGTAGGGAGGGAATACTAGAGAACTGAATCAAGGAACTGATCCTTGTTTTGAGGAAAATAACCCATTATAGAATAATCTAACACCGTGGGATGGGAGGTGGGGCTAGAACAGGCACAAGCCCTTTTTACACTGTTGTTGTTTTGCTTTGCTTTGCTTTTTATTTTTGTTGCTGATTTAAGTGGCCAGTGCTAAGCCTGGGCCAACAAAGCCCACACCCAGCTGCTCTCTGTCACCTTTTCTTTTGGTCAGCAGGTGATTGGCAGTCTCTGTAGGAAATATCACTTTCATGGCGGTGTCAGACATTTGGTGCATTATGGGTGAATCTTACCCCAGTGTACCGAGGGCCCTATACACCACTGAAGCCTCACCTAAACTTGTGTAATGAACTTGTAGAGTGCATCAGGCCTTGAGCAAGGCCCTCTTCACTGGGGTGAGTTTCACCCCCAGGAAAAGGTGAGCAGCCAGATTCCAATGCAAGAGGGGACCAAAATCCAGTTTACAGCTTTTGCCAGGATTGTCACAGCTGAAGAGCCTTGACCAGTGAAGTCTACAACTAGTGTGAGACAGCTACAGGACTCCATCTAATGATACAGGGTTCCCTCTACTGGTTAGGACTGGGCTTCCAGACTCCCAGGTTCTGTTCACACCGCTGCCCTTGACTTGTGTAACCTGGGTAGATCGCTGAATTTCTCTGTGCTTCAGTTCCCACTTCTGTTAACAAGCTCTAATAATACTTGTCTTAACTATCTCACAAAGGGGTGATGAGGCTTAATAAATATCTGCAGTGCACTCTCAGATCCTTAGCTGGAGATGCTGTGTAAGTGCTGGGTACAAAGAGAACACAAAGTGGGTTTCAGTGCCTGTGCTAGTCATTCCATTATCTGGGTGGGCTTTTTTTCCTACCCTGCCTATCTCCAAGGTGAGAATCTGCCCAGACTAGATCTGGTTGATGAGAAGTAAGTCTGTCTCACATTCTTCTCTTCAGATTTCCCTAACACAACATGCTGCACCACTACTACGCCAACAAATAATATACAATCCGCATTCTTGCTGCAGCTGCACTGCGGGCAGTGTTAAGAAATACAGAAGCAGGGCTGGAATCTCACAGCCATTTTGGTACATCCCACATGCTTGGAAACTTGGCAGATCTTTCACTGGTTTCATTGTCACTTGCCCAAAGAATTATTTCTTAAAATTAAAAAGAGGAAAATAAGAGATATGAACCTGCTAGAATTCAGAAATCCCGAAATACATATAGCGAAGACTGATTAATTTATTGCTCAAATTGTTCAGTTTTAATTTTGTATTTGACACATTCCAATTGTGATTTTTCTCTTGCTCGGAGTTCAGTAATGACACACACAAGGTCTGTAACGAAGAGGCCTGCAGGCATAATAGACCTATTTGAATATTGGCTCTAGAACTAATCACAGACTTGAAATGTGCAGGTTTTTTAAGGAGCGCTTCGTCGTGTTAATGAATTTTCTCTTGGACACTCATGCTCAGTCCGCACCCGATCTGTATTTAGCCCAAAAGGAGCTGTACAGCAGCTAAAATACTACCAAAATTATATTAATACAAGAACAAGAAAGCAACAATTCAGTAACAAAGTTACGATGAGATACAAAGGGGAAGTACACCTCTACCCTGATATAACGCTGTCCTCGGGAGCCAAAAAATCTTACTGCATTATAGGTGAAACCGCGTTATATCGAACTTGCTTTGATCCACTGGAGTGTGCAGCCCCGCCCCTCCGGAGCACTGCTTTACCATGTTATATCCAAATTCATGTTATATCGGGTCGCTTTATATCGGGGTAGAGGTGTAATTAGTTCTCACAGTGTGGTCTAAGCACTTTCAGGTGGTTGGCGGAGCTGTTTCTGTCACAGAAGTAGTCTTCAACCAACACTGCTTCCTACGATAGGTAACCCTGTGCATGAATCTTTTAGTAGCAGTACTACTAAATATATTATGCTAGCACCCACAGGGCCCAATTTTAGTTTGCCAGAGGCTCTTTTTTAACCAACTGAACGCAACAGAACAGACATGTAGAAGCAGATTCTGAGATCCTTACTCTAGTTTAGTAGCACTTCACTCCACAGCGAATTTCACTGTCTTCCATGGGGCTATTCATGGAATAAGGAACTACTTTGCATTAGTAAGGCGGTCTGAATCCGACCCTTAATTTGGAAGTATAACATCAATTAAAGTGGTAGCATTTATGTTTTATATTTTCACAGCTTTTACAACTGGGATAGAAATGTCAGCACTTCAAATGCCAGTCCAAATTACCAAGTGATTGCAGAAAATGCATGTGGATTACTCTTCAAGAACAAATGTGATAGGAAAATAGTAAATGTGGATCCCAAGGTAAATCCCTTTTTTCAATATTCAGAGTCTCCTTTATTCAAGGCTCTTTGATTACATATCTTTTGAAAGCCTGTTACAAACTAATTATTTATGAATATGCACCTTATATTTCAGGCTCACATGCATGCAATCCCTTTGCTAACACAGCTGGCCTCTAGGTACCATAAAGGATAAGCTCAGCTCACGCTGTTTTTAACTGCAAGTCTCTAGCCCTTTTCCTTGTGAAGACAGCAGTGAAAACATAAACTGTTTGCTAAGACTGAAAGGACTATGCAGCCCATGCCACTTCTGCAGCAGGAGGCTGGGGGGAGAGGACCTAAAGATTCTCTCTCTCACACACATGTTTTTTATGGTGAATGAGACAATTAGTTTGGCATGTGACTCCCTTTACCGTCCCCAGAATCTTAAGGCCAGTTTTCTCCCCTCTCTGTCAGGCACTTCAGTAGCACATGAGGAAAACCAAGCTGTTGTTGCACCAAGTGGGACCTGTGCAGCTACCATGGCCCACCTGTCTTCTCACTGGTGCCTGCTTCCCCAACCCCAGGCCAGAGTCTGAAGTGCTGGTATTGGGAGGGAGCCTGGAACTTTATTCCTCTACACAGTAGCCAGGGATAACCGCTCCCTCACGCTCCCTCACGCCAGCTCTGGGAGACCCCCAGTTGTCAGGAGAGACCTGTCCACTTCAAGAACCAAAGAGGACCCATTCCCAATTTACCACCGAAGGTGACCTATGCCCACCCACCCAATCCTCCTCCAGTCAGACACTGCCAAGAGATGCCTCAGGACAGGTCTCTGATCTGCCTGCCCCCACTGCTTCCAGTGGAGGCCTCAGCCTGCTTCCTCCCACTGCTGCTTCCAAGTAAGGAAGCCAGAGGAGCCTGAGTGAAGTGCTGAGGAAGGCGAATCATAGTGAATTGAGAGGTGCTGGTGCAGAAGGTGGAAGGGATTGGAAGGACTGATGGATTTGGGTCTGGGAAGAATACAGGATTGTGGAAGGGACAGGTGGATTTTAGAGTGGGGAGGGAATGGGGTATTTTATCCAGAGACTGTCACATGCATCTCCAGAAGAGGTGGAAAATTGTTGAGGGGAGGCACTTGTTAAAATGTTGGCAGCATATCACTTGGCTGACAGGCCCAAATTTGAACCTACTTAAAAGTTATATTTTCCTTTATGAAATGTGCCGACTAGTGGATAAAAAAATGTGAAGTTCCTTCAGAACAAGGGTGGAGACATAGGACAGATATAAAATCCGAGCTCCTGACTGGGCAATCCACCACCACCAAATCCAGAGTGAAGGGTCAGTTGGAATCACAAACTAATGCCTTGCCAGCAGTTTTTCTGCAATGAACTGAAACAAAATGGATTCCTTTTCAGAAGCACTCAGAGAGCAGGGCTAGTGTGGGTGACAACCCCACACCTTTTTAAAAAAATCAAAAGCTGAAAGACTGTCCAGGCACCTCTGAAAATCAGGCCACTCATTTCAATAGCTTTGCAGAGATTTTTGCTGCCTGACTTCAGGTACCCAAGTTGAAAAAATTTGGCCCAGTGGATCTGTGTGAAATCTAAAAGCCAAATGCTTTCAGATTTGTCCTCGTTTTACAGATTAATACAAAAGGCAGCTCATGTCAACTGTCAGAGCATTGTGTGCAGCATAGAAATAAAGACAAAATCAGAGATGTATACTTGTCTGTTTTGCTATTCAATGGAATCAGAGTGTGTGACTCTGTGCTTAAAGAATTAGGACTTCTTTTATATCCTTTGGCTTGATGTTTTGTTCATGTCACCAGAGAGGCACAAACAGTCTGATGACAGTAAAAGATTCTGATCATCCTGGAAAATATAAAACACAGTATGTGGCCGGACGAATGTATAGTGGAAAGCGGGAGTTATCAGGGTTGAAAATTCCTATAGGAAGAAACTCCCATAAAATACACTGGCCTTGAAGAAGGTTGAGGTTATTATGGCAGCGTAAGGGTTAAAAACCAGTTTAAATATATCTAATACGCTGTCCCACACACACAAGAAATTTGTCAGTATGTGCTCCCTCTGGTGGATATAAGTCAGTCTCATGCACATAGCAAAATGCCTTTGTCCTGGCGCAGAAGTGTTTATAACTGAAGCAAACACAGGAAAATACTGATGTTTGCATAAGGCTATGTACCAGGGAAATCAAGAGGTAAATTTATTGTAATGAGTGAGGAGAATTTTATCCACAATGTTATAGACTCTGTGTCATAAAATAAATATGGCATAAACACATGTTAGAGTCTGCTTTTTTGTTAATAATGGGTCTGATCCTACTCCCATTGAAGTCAATAGGAGCTGTGGCATTGACTTCAGTGGAAGCAGAATTGGTTTCCTTATTCTATAAAACGTATTTTTTACTTTAAAATAATTATGCCAAACAATTGTTGAAAACATAAAACAAAGGGGGGGGGGAATCACTCACATGGCATTATTGGATTTAGTATACATTAAAATGCCCCAAATCCTATGTTATGTGATGTCAATGTTAGAATGCTAGAACATTCAAAAACCTAAGGGTTGGGATTTTCAAAGGGGCTTACGGGGTGTTAGGCATTGAATGTAAAAGGGAGATGGGCACTTCACACCCTTAGGCCCAAAACTACCAAATCAGAACAGTCGTGTTTTATACTGACTTGGCCCTGGTGAAATTGGCTAGGTACAAAGAGCAGGGCAATGGAAAATCTGATCCACTGAACCTGGACCAGTGAGAAGAGGAAACAAACTTGCTTTCAAAATTTAATATCGTGTTCCTGGGGATATTGGGTTATACAATCACTGAGGTAAGTCAGGAGGAGGAGCAAACGACCAGCAGAGGTTTTGAATTTTATCCAGTTACATTGAACTTGGCAGAATTGATTGAACAAATGTAAGTTCCTACTTCTGTTCTCAAAGATGCAGCATGTACTGTCCGTGAACAGCCGGCTGAGCTTTTCATATGTACAATGGAGCATGACTTCACAAATCCCCCACCTCATACAGTTCTGCTGGATGCCCATTCTTTGCAGCATCCAAATTACCCTCTTTGTTTTAAAATTTGTCCTTTGACTTGTTCCGATCTACCTCCTAGACTTAAGTCTATCTCTTCTTTTCCTGCATCTCTTCTTCTAGAGTAGCACTGGTTTCCTCTCTATCATTCCACGTCTGGAGCCAACTTTTGCCCTCAGTTACACCTAGGCAACCCTATGTGTTTCACTGGGCTTGCACGGATATAAACGAGGGTAGAATTTGGCCCAGTGTCACCAATGCTGATGCAAAAGCCCACTTCTCTGCAGCTCCTCCCATCTGGAACATCCATCTTTCCTGTATTTCTCAGCCTCATTACCTCTCCATCTCATTTCAAATCTCAGCTGAAAACATATTTTCTCCTTTGTCCGCACCCTTTTCTATCAGACTTTGTCTGCTATTATTTATCTAGTTCTGTGATGGTTACATAACTTTGTAAAGTGTTTTGAAATCTGTACAAAACAAACACTACATACAATAAAGTTACACAGGAGTTCCCCATTATGAGCCATAGTTGAAGGCTATTTAAATTGCTGCGTGTATTATTTTCTTTCATGTTGGAAGAGGAATGGGTTATACCCTATAAACAATGTTCTTCTGAAATGAATTGACAATATTCTTCTGATCTTGATTGCCCTTTTTTAAACTTTACATCTGAGCCCTTGGACTGTAGATTGAATGTGACAAACACACCCATGCTTTGGTTCCTCTCAAAACCAACGTGAAGTAAGTTGGGCAATAATTTGTTTGGGTTTGTACAGAACAGATCTAGGATGATGGTTTCTTTGAAGTGCTTCCCATGAAAGATGGTTGCATATGAATAGCAACTGTACAAAATATCAAATTATACGCATTTTAAAATGAGTGCATTGGTTTGTTAGACAGTCAAAAATGCATACCTAAAAAATGTGTTTGGTTGCATTGAAAGTGGGCCATTGATCTAATGTCCTGCAGCTGGAGAACATCTGTAACAAATAACCAGATATTTTATTTCTACGTGAAAGATACTTGCACTCAGAGTGCTACACCAAGTAACATTTTTTGTTCATTTATAATTTTAAAAAATGTAAACACTGCAGAAATATGTACTGTGTATTTGTATGTTGCGGGATATAGTGTATGTGCATCCCCAGCAACTATCTGTCTGTCCATCTGTCTTGGGTTTTTCTGTAACACTAACCAAGTAGAGAAAGATTTTTCAAAAGCCCTTAACATTGGCCTAAATCTACCGTCACTGAAATCAAAAGGAGTTTTGCCATTGGTTTCAATCTGAACAAAGTTAAGCCAATGCTGGGTGCTTTCTACAACTGGGCTCTGCTTGATCAGTTGATTGCACAAGTGAGCCCTTTCTTTTACCTAAAGTCAACCTATATGAAACGATGGTAAGTTGGTGGTATTTATTCACTAGCTCTTGAACTTTAATCTGCATTCAAGAAACCACATACCTAACCTGGGCAGAGTTGGTAGGTTCCATATTTCAGGGAAGCCAGGAGGAAATACATGTAACTCTCATGGTTTATTTTTTGTCTGTCCTGACAGTTGGGTTAACTATAATACTCTGTGTCTCAGGCTTACCCAGGAGACAGCACAACTCGGACACCTATTGAGACAGATCTCTACCTCCAAGTAGTCATCTATGACCATATCCTTAGAAGAAAGACCTAAACACCAGCTCATTGGCTCTTCCTTCAAGTATCTGTTTACCAACTTTTATTTTAACTGTAAAAGAAATAAATCAGTTTGAAGAGATCTCTACCATGTGTGAAACTGGTCTTCCGGTGGAATGGGATGGTGACGTTTGGTCTGGGTTAGGGTCAGTTTGTGGCAGGCTGTTTCAGGGATGCTGGGCAGAAGGATACCCTGCCCCACCATGCCCCTGGGCAGTAGTGGGGTTCCTTGCAATCCCCAGATCACAAGTACTGCCCTTTCCTAGTGCCCTTGGGGCACATGACACTGCAAAGGCAGTTGGAGTGAAGAGGTGAGGTCGTGGCCCCAACTTCTTCCCATTTCACAGAAGCCAGCAGACCCGGCTGACTACATGGGGGAGCATGCTGCCCCCCTTAAGCAGTATAGTAGCAAGAATATTACCATGTGTAGTAGGAGGTTCATATTCCTGCCTGCAGCTCCCCCTTGGGCAGTGTGGCTCCCCTACACAGAGCTGTGCCTCTGTGGCACAATTGATCCCCGAGTGACCACTTCTGAGGGCCACCCCCAGGACTCATCCAGGAAGATCACACTACAGAAGATAACAATGGGTGTGAAGAAATTTGCACTGCTCCTGTGGCCTAGAGCACAACTTTCCTTCCTGCTCTTGCAGTGGCTCCAGTACAGCTGGCCACATCAGCAACTCTCTGGTATGAGGCTGTAAGTTCGGGCAGCAGCCCAATGCCCCAAGCTATTCTCCTTTGTTCCTGTGGCACTTACATAAGCTGCCAGTGCACATATGATCCAGACTTTGGAGCTATCGATGGATACCTCCATCCCAAGCACTTTGTAGCCATCTGCTGAGTGGACAACAGGGAGGGGAAGCACCAAACTATACAGCAAAAAAAGCAAGTAGAAAGCAAAGAAAAAGAATAGTTATAGAGAAAGAAAAACAGATGAGGGGCAAGCAGAAGAAACAGAAGCAGAAAAAGTCTATGGCCTGTATTATGCAAGAGGTCAGACTGGATTATCAAAATGGGGTTTTTTGGCCTTAAAATCTATGGATCTATTAAAAGGACAGGTAAAGGAAAATAGACAAGAACAAATATTATTTCAGCTGTGCTGGGGCTTACCATGAGGTGGGGACTTATTCGTCAATCCATCACAAACATGATGCCTTTGGACAAGGCTGAGAACCTCTCCCTTAGCAGTTTGTATTCGAAAAGGCCCTTTACTGAGTGGAAGAGGCAGCTTTCCAGCAATTACAAAGTGGAAGTTCGTTTGTTCTTCAAAGCTGCAATAATTTGAAAGATTTACAAGACAGTTTTCTTTCCAATAAAATTGTCAATGTTATGAAGTTCTGCCATTTCCAGGTATAATAAAATGTTTTATTGTAATAGCTAGCTTTTATATAGAGGGCTTCATCCCAAAGCATTATACAAACTTCACAAACAGATCACTTCATTGAGCACTGAAATGCAGCCAGTCTTGGGTGAAACCTATCTGTGCATAGCAACTTCACACAATCTCTTAGACCTATACTGCCGCAGTATATTTCAGATAAATAACATACATAAAAATCTTAAGGCCTTGTGGAATATTGTTAGTATTGTATTTAAGGTTTTATCCCCAAGTTGCTGGGTTGTTGTTTTTTAATATTTATCCCAAGTGAAGTAGATATTTTTATGCTGTGTATCTTAATTATCCAAATATAAAATCTTTTGATGAATTTTAGCTGGTATGAAAGTTTTGCAAAATGATATTACTGGGCTATTGCTAATTTTACAATAAAAATCTGTGGTCTGTGTGACAGATGTTGCAACTCCATGCGAGACCATATTATATTAAATTTATGTATCACTATGGATCAGGGGTTGTATGCAGCTCCAGGGGGAGGGTTACCACAATTCTTCCATGAACCAAAAATGGTGGGAGGTGATTTAGGTGAATCTTCTAGGTGATAAACACCTCCAGAGAGGTGTGGGAGGTTTATATATACTGGTTCACATTGGATTTTTCACTGCCCAACAGATAAAGAAAGGGCTTTTGATATAAAAATGCTGCATCAGGGACTTCTTTCTGATCCAGCAAATGGACAGGACCTCCTGTCCAATGGGGCCCCCAACCCTTGCAGAAGGTTTGAAAGATGTTGGCCCACAAAGACTCCATAAGACTGAGGAGTGACTCCTGGTATCTTAAACAGATTTAAACATGCATTAATTGTTTTTATTAGGTTTTCTCTATAATGCTTTTACCTTAAGCATAAAGGTGCTTGCTTAGAACGAGCTGTGTGGACACCGTCAATACACTGTTCATAGCCCTTGTAGAGAGAGAGCAAAGCATGGGTCCTGGCCATTAGGCAGACTGGCTTGCTGGGGAAATCACAGTGTAAGGCATGGGCTCTGCAGCCTTTAAACCTCTGATCAAAAGGAAGTGGGACAAGGATCCCTGCCCAGAGACAGGTGATGGTTGGAGACCTGAGACCTGACTGGGCATGCCTGGAGTGGACCCCAGAGGGGAGAATACAGATGCAGTTCTCCTGAAACCGTTACAGCCTGATTCTTCACTCACTCATACTGGTGTAAAGTAAGGGTATCCCATTGAAGTCAATGGAATTACACTAATGTAAGATGCTGATACCGTCTCCATTGAAAGCCGGAGAAGAGGAAACCCCAACTCTAAAGGCTGGTGGATGGGGCATTTCTGAGAAAGAAAATGAACAAGTGTGATTGAATTTTTCATACTTCTGAAGCTATGGATTTTAATTATTCTTTCTTGGTCTAATCAGATCTTAAAGTTATAAAAATCTAACGTGGGAAACAGCCCCTGGAACATGGAGGAAATTATGAATAAAAGGGGGGGGGGGGAGAAAGAGAAAGAGAGATGAAATAAAAGTAAATAGAATTAGACTTCCAAAGTTGTGGAAATAATTTCTTCAAGGTGAATTCAGCTTTCACTAACCTTTGTCCCATAAATCAACACTTTTGATGTTGGTAAATTACAGCAAGATTAGGAGAACACCATGTCTGTGCCTGCAGGGGAAAAGAAGGAAATTTGGATTCAAATGGGCTTTAAATTACAGCCTGTACATATTAATGTGATGATCAGTGAATGTACTAATGAATGAGCAACAGTTGACTTGTGTGTCTTTAAAGGCGTACAACTGAGATGCTTGTAAAATATAAACAGCCTCGTCTTCTGAAGTTGACACTCACCTCCTAGGGAATACTGATTTTGTGCAGTTTCTAATTTGATGAAAAGTTTAACAACAACAACATAAAACTAAATGTAATTAGGAACGGAATATTACTGAATCTACAAAATCTCTGGCAGTCCAGTAAGCCAGTCGAAATGACCAATCATGGAGAAGTCTCCGCATCTGCCACAGCCCATGGGCCAATCAAATTGTTGTTAAAAAAAACTGATAACCTTAGTGTCCTGCATGCAATCAAATTAAAAAGTTAGAACTAGGATGATACTAACTAAATGCAAAATCTGAAGTGATTATTACTTAGTTCGATGGCAAGGCTGAGTTTTAAGGTGTCTCCATGGAAGCTACGCTTTTTGGAAAATCTAGCCTCCATTCTGGGTGGGGATCACTTGAAACTCTGTCCATGAGCATTTTTGAAAATCTGGCCCCACATTTCATACAGTCTGGTTAATTTCCCCTAACAGCCGATATGTTCCTTATGGCTACTTCAACATTTGAAACGCTTTCAAATTATTACCTTCCCGCTGTGACTGATGAGTTTTCCCAATATCATATCATTGTGCTGCCCTGGCTAGATACATAGTAAGTATGGGGGGAGGGATAGCTCAGTGGTTTGAGCATTGGCCTGCTAAACTCAGGGTTATGAATTCAATCCTTGAGGGGGCCACTTAGGGATCTGGGGCAAAATCAGTACTTGGTCCTGCTAGTGAAGGCAGGGGGCTGGACTCGATGACCTTTCAAGGTCCCTTCCAGTTCTAGGGGATAGGATATCTCCATTAATAATAAAAGACCAATGTGCCAAACATGATAATCAAGGAAAAAGTCTGTTTCAAGAAATAACCGTATGAAAACTCCCTGAATGTCCCTCCTGCACTCTTGACTTTTTAGCAACGATGAATACAAACTATCCACTCTGTCCATGACAGTTATGTAAGATAGGGCAAGTGTATATTCAGTACAACTGCACTAGAGTTTACATTAAGAGTTATTAGGGGGGGAAATTGTGAATGTATATTACAAGAACAGTGGATCTATACAATTGTAATTTTATGCCAGTGGCTTTTTTGTGTAAAGCATATTTAAACTGGTTACAAGTAGCTAAGGTCTATAAATATTATTTTGTGTACATTATATATTCTGCTCTTTTACTTTATCCCTAGAAATTGATACTCTTGTTTTTATGTGGAATTTGATATAAATATGCAAAACTGCATGGACCTTGGACCCTAGTCATAGTTTTATGAAGGTTTTTGTTTGTTAACAATACTTTGAACCTCAAATAAGGCAATTTCTTCCTGGTTAACATCACCATTCTTGTCCCTGCTTACCTTGCCTACCCTTCTCTGATACACTAAATAAACTGAGCCACAAGAGGTGGAAACCTGTAGGGCAGCAGTTTCAACTGAAAATAAAGATTTGGGGCGATCTCGGCAAACCACTTGGTCCCCTTCCCCCAGAAACATAGCCCATTCCCCTCGCAGATGGTATAACAGTGCCTGCCTCCAAGTACGTAAGTGCCCCCATAGCATTACTGTAGCTTGATTCACTTCTACACTGATGCCACCTGCTACATAACCTCCCTCAAAGAATGTAGGGTCCTTACTCAATCTTTACCCATCAGCAGCCATATATTTTATACCTCTTGCTACCTTCACCTTCTGAATTTTAAGTACAAAAGAAAATTAATGGATTGAAACGATCCACAACTTAGTGTTTATGGACATAGAAAAGACGGCGGGAAAGGAGGAAATAAGACCGTATAACAGAGTGGGTTTAAAAATAATATACTAGATGTTGAGGTACAAAATTCCTTTCTGATGTATTTACATGTATGCACTTACTGTGCATGAATTCAAAAAATCTCCCTAGCATGTCTCACTAAGGGAATCAGGTTAGAC